TGTGGCTTTGGCATGCTGTTTCTGCTTATTACTCCGATGGATCTTCATGAGGATTCATGGGCCGCCACAGAATGCCTTTTTCTGGTAGATGATGAAGTGACTCAACAGTAGTTGTTTTTTGTGGAAGCAAAACATGCTCTGAATTTACTGCCCCTGGAAAGGGTTAAATTACTTGTATTTTAGCAGGAGCCTTGTGAGTTATTGTGGAAACTGACAGAAATACAGCTGATTCAGCTTCCGTTCATACTTCTCGTATTTGGTAGTACCGTGGGGTACCTGCCAAGAGTGTCACGGGAGTGTATGACCTCCTGATACCATGGTCCCTTAGTGTTAACATTGCAACCCAGGAGAGCTGAGGCTTCCCAGATCCTGGAGAACTTCCTGGGGACACAGGCAGGAAGTGGCTTGAGAGGCTTTTACCAGGTGGTTGGCTCTTTGTCTCCTTGTACTGTGCTCTTCAAAAATAGTGTAGCACTTTTATTCCTATTACAGTGTCATATTACTGTTGCAGAACATTTTTGAAATACAACCAGTCAAAATGAATAAAAAATGATCATTATCTATCAGTTGATCCCACAGAGACAACTTTCTAGATACATTTGATATATGTATGTGCCTACTTATATTATGTACCTACTTATATATACCATACCTTTTATCAAGCAGCTTACAAACTTATTTCATAAGTTGCTCTTTACTGTCTTACCACATAGTAGATAAGAATCAGGCAGAGGTAGGTTTGGATCCTATTTCTACAACCTAACTTTGTTACTTTGGGCAAGTTACTAAAACTCTGTCCAGTCTCAGAGCAGGGCCCAGCTAGGAGTCAGGGCTCCATGCTGGAAGCTCTTGGGATGGACAGTAGTGTAAGTTTGAATAGAGTCTCAGACCTGTGTGATTTTGGATACATTAGGGTGGCTGTCAGAGTGGAATGATTTTAATTCCACTGGGGACAACCCTGTTTTTAGTTCTACTGTTTAATTTCTCCAGTCATCAAGACTGTATCTAGAGATGGCACTTTAGTGATCCTGAACTCAAATCCCTATTGGAACTAAGCAGGTTGTGTGATCTATAGAAGCAGGTCTGGTGTGAGAAAATCAACCAACAGAAATACAGCACACTGTCTTCACTTCTACCTAACTCTAAGCTAATATTGGAATTTAGTATTCAGAATTAATAATAGATGAATTGAAATAAATTCTCTCTAGTACTTCTTTTTGTATTTGGAACTTAAAATATCTGATGCCTTTTCTTCCACACCAGGTCTCAGTGGCACATCTTGTCTCTCGAGTTACAGGATGCAATGCTATAGTGAACCTTGCTTCCCTAATGAGCTAATTGCTTTATTTCATAATAGAAAATAGCTGTTCATAAACAGAAGTACTTCCAAACTGGACTCGAATGTTGGCATAAAAATATTTTCTGTCTGGAGTAACTATTCCTGAGATGGTTGTAGAAGTCTGAGATTCCACATCAATCATACTCAGTGTTTTGTGTCGTATTGCACTGCAGTTCAGTAACTTCCATTTGTATGGCTCGTTGCTCACACTATTAGTATTAATTGACAAAGGCAAACTGAACAGGTCATATCATTTTTATAAAGGTTGAAATTATATACCTGGAGCCAGTGAAGGGTCAGTTACCTTTAATTCCATAAAGTAAAAAATATAGTTCAAACTATCAGTCTTTGATTTCTGCAAACTGAATGCAGCATATGAAAGTGGGCCAGATAATTTCTTACCAAACAGGTTTCCTAAAGGTAAAGTTTTGGTAAGAATGAGCAAATTAAATCACATATTTGTGTAACTACTTAAGAATGTCCCTTTTGACAAGTAGCGTTAGGGAAACTGGATTTCTGCCCGCAAAAGAGTGAACTTGGACCCTTACCTTATACTATATACAAAAATTACCTCGAAATGGATCAAATACCTTAATGTAAGAGTTGAAAGTACAAAACTTAGAAGAAAACAGTGGAAAAACTTATGACGTTGGATTTGGCAATTATTTCTTGGCCGTGACACCAAAAGCAAAGGCAGCAAAAGAAAAAAATAGATAAATTGGATTTCATCAAAATTAAAAACTTGCATGCCTCAAAGGATACTGTCAACAGTGAAAAAGCAACCCATGAATTGGGAGAAAATATTTGCAAGTCATGCATCTGGTAAGGAATTGATATCCAGGATATATAAAGAACTCCTTCAACTCAACCACAGCAGAACAACCCAATTACAAAGAAGATATACAAATGGCCAATGAGCGCATGAAAAGATGCTCAGTATCACTAGTTGTTAGGGAAATGCAAATCAAAAACCACAATGAGATTCCACTTCACACCCATTAGGATGGCTACCATCAAAAAACAAACACAAAGTAACAAGTGTTGGTAAGAATGTAGAGAAGTTAGAACACTTGTGCCCTATTGGTGGGAGTATAAAATGGTGAAGCTGCTATGGAAAACAGTGTGGCTGTTTCTCAAAAAAATTAAACATGCATTTACTGTATGTTCCAGCAATTCCACTTCTGGGTATCTACTCAAAAGAATTGAAAGCAGGGTCTTGAAGAGATATTTGTGTACACGTATTCATAACAGTATTATTCCTTATAGCCAAAGATGGAAGCAGCCCAAGTGTTCCTCAGTAGATGAAAGAATAAACAAAACATATTCATATAACAGAGTACTATTCAGCCTTACAAAGGAATGGAGTTCTGACACATACCTTCTGTCCATCATACAGAAGGACAAATACTGTATGATTGCACTTACATGAGGTTCCTAGAGTAGATAGCTTGTGGTGTCAACCAAAAAAGCCAAATCTTGGATGCAGTGTTAGTTGGTGAGCCAAGTTGAGGACTTTTCTTTGGATCCTATGATGCAGTGTTTTCAACAGAACGGAAAGGTCGCTTCAGCACCAAGCCTCTCACACTCACACCATGCCCTGCAGCAGACAGTTAGGTTTGCATCCGTTTCATCCATCAAAGCTTAGAGTTCAGTGCCATTCAGCTCTGTTTCATGGTGTTAGTTTCATGACCGTTCCTTTGTTAAATATTTATAAAATCTTTATTCCTGGAGAATCATTCCATAAACAAAATAATATGATGAATGGGCTTAAGTGGACTTGCAAAATATTGTTTCCTTTGAATAAAAAGTGCAGCACTAACAATGACTGTTGAGGGTCACATTTGTTGATTTCGACCGATCTACATTAAACTTTTCACAGAACACAATAGAGAATCATTTCCTATCGTGTGCTTATCGTGAATACTATATGCGTAAGTACTTTAGTCTCATGAAAATCCTCATCAGCTCCGTGAGTAAATATAGCTACCTGGGTTGTATTATTTATATCTCTGTTCTAATCGGCTGCCATTGGAAACACTGTAAATAACTTGTCTGTTCCATATAGCTTGTTCCGTAAGTTTTCAGACCTGTCTTTACTACACTGAGCAACATCATTGTTTACAGTTAGATTTAAATTTGTCAGTGCTTCAATTTTTCACACACGTTTGTTGCCACGTTGTGTAAAATACCTTTAAACTTACCATCTATAACTGCTTGGGCTGTGTGAGCAGTAAGTAACTGCAATTTACAGAAGCAGTACTCATTTAATGTTCAAAAACAATCCCTACTGAAAATGTCAATCCTTTTGAGGTTTATTTTTGTTTCTTTTTCTTTTTTAATCACCTGTATTTTCAAAACATGGTCATCGTTCTCAACATGGTTGCTTAATAATAGCATCATAAGCTATGTTCTTCCAATGCTGGCGTGCTTTGTTTGTTAAACATGTAGGAGTGTACTTAATTATTGAAGGGAAATATGCTTTCTTGAAACTTGTCTCCCCCCCACTTTTGGTTGAGATGTGAATAAGAGTATATTTTGCCTGCCTTTTAATGTTGCTTAAAGAAAATCAAAACTTCTTAGTCTGTAGTACTGGAGTAGCAGGAAGTGGTGGAGGCTGTGGCAGACTCGAGTGCATTGCATCTAAAAGGTGCAGCTGCAGTTAACTTCCAGGTACAAGTTAGCTTTTATATGAAATTACCCACCCAGTTTATAAATGTTGGTAACTAGTGCAGAAAAAAAAAAAAGTTTAAACTTTATGGGCCAGAGAAACACAGTGAGCTTGTTCAGATGTTTGGCCATCAGTTTGCTTTTTGTGCTCTGAACCTTCGCAGTCAGCTTTTCCTTGGCCTCCTGGGCAGTCCAGCCGCCACTTTAAGGATAAGACTTATAAGATAAGATTTAGGATTTGCAGCTGTTTTCATATTCTTATTGGTAGAAATTGAAGCTCCGAGTCAGAATATTACCTGCTTTTGTCCAGGTTTCTATTTAATGAGATCCCCGTCTCTTCACTCAAAGATATTGGGGTGAGCAGACAGATGGAGCTAATGGATTAATGCATCAGGGGGTGATTAGTACTTGCACGGAAAAATAAAACCCTGGGACGAAGCCTATTTTCATGAGTAATTATCTGTTTTTATTTTCGTTAAATTAAAATTAGTTTATGGTTCATTTACTGTAAATTGTAAATGAGTCTTCAAAAGCACATGAGTTGAATTGCTCAGAATTTGATGTTTTATCTAAACTGAAAGCGAAATGCCAAGCTTGATGGACCTGTCATTCCTCTGGTGAACCGTCTGAGGGAGAGAAAACTCCTTCCCCAACCAGCCCCTGACCCCTGCAACTGCGGTGCACCCTGTGGTTCCTGACTTGGTAATGATTGTGGATTGGATTCAGGAACACACCAGCCATGGTGCAAGTAATGGTCAGTGCCAGGATCACTTAATAATGATATAAGGTTCTTAAGTACTTTGGGGATATTAATAATTTTATAAACTAATTAAGAAATTAGGTTCTGTCTTGAAGTAGTTTTCCAGTTACTAATTTTGACATATAAACTTCTGGCCCTGGTTTGTTTTTATAAAAGAAGAAATGAAACATTGAAATGTTAAAAGGAAAGGGTGTCAAATCATTGCCTGCATTTTCTGTCTCATCCCCTGTGCAGGGGGCACGCAGCGACTGCCACGTGCCATTGGGATGTCCCTGGCCAAAGAGCTCATCTTCTCTGCACGTGTGCTCGATGGCCAAGCAGCCAAAGCAGTGGGCTTGATCAGCCATGTTCTGGAACAGAACCAAGAGGGGGATGCTGCCTATAGAAAGGCCTTGGACCTAGCAAGAGAGTTTTTACCTCAGGTACTTTAATTGCATTTCCTTCTTTTACTCTTTTTAGATAACTTTATAACAAATTGACTAGATTAATATTAAGAGCCTTCAGAATTAAAATTAAGATTTGAAGATAATCTGAGGCCCCTATCGTAGCCATACGTTGATAATATATCACATACATGTTTATCACTTGGGACAGAACTTGCCAGCAACTTAAGTTGTTCGCCAGCTAGCCCTTCTGACCTGAACTGTACATATGAAGAGAAACAGTGACGGATGGGCTGTCACACTGGATTGCCCCCAAACTGAAACACAAGTAAGGAGCCCAGAGTCGATTATGCCAAGTGAGCTTTCATTGAGATCCCATAACCTGAGATAACCTGCTTGAACAGCACCAGTTGTGTGTCTTATTGTGTTTGTTTTTATGGTGATGTAGGCATTGTTTTAACTCCTTTGTGCACAATATGCTTCCTCACAATTACACTTCAAATCTGGGACTCACTGCACATTTACTCACAGATCATAATCCTCATGAGTAATGTTAATAACAGCACATCTAGGGACCTGTATTAAGAGTTTCTTGGTTCTCTCACTCTTTTAGGAGTATTTTTCAAATATTCCTTTCTTCTGAAATCATGGATTAAAGGATTTTTGCTATGTAAACAATTAGTGACTTGTCTTTATTCCTAATGGCGTGTAAAGTTTTATTACTTCTGGAGTCAAAATTACTTCCTCTCTAACTCAAACAGTATTTGTAACCTCTCAGTATTTGTAACCAAAGGCCATGGGTCCTTTTGGAAAATCTCATGAAATCTCTCTCTAGAAAAATGCATGCACCCTCCACATTTGTCTGGAGTTTCGCATCCAGTTTCGGGAGGCATCCTTGGAGTTCTTTGTTGTAAGACAAGGCCCAGGTCTGCTGTGATGTACCTGTCCCCTGAGAGCTGTCAGACGGGTCCTCTCATTTGAGTTGGTTTCTAAAACCACACTGCCTGCTGTTGATGCTACTTCAGTCCTTCTCAGTTAAGTTATGAGCTATAAGCTCTTTCAGGGCAGGGACCTTATATAGTTTATTCCCCATATGAGGTAACACAGAGTCTTATACTCTGAATTGATGGAGAGAGAGCAAGTAGAAAAGATTTTTACTAGTTTAAGGAAAAAAAAAAACAGCTCCCGAGTTCTGAGATTCACAGCCTCTCCTAATCCTTGGATGGGAGCGTTTAGCTCCCTATTCCAGAGCTCTGCCCGGGTGGCTCATTAGCCCCTTGGCACCTCTGTGGTTCAGGTTCCTTATCTCACTCCTGGGAACTGGCTCTTTCTCCTGTGACTGCAGTGCTGTTAATGCCATCACTGCCCACAGCTCACCCCGCCTGAGAGCCCCCTTCTCCCCACCTCCAACCTGACATCTGACTGCATCCTACCACGTGGTAAACCAGGCAGAACTCATCGTCTCTTTCATCTGAAGGACATGCCTCTGAGAACATTAATTGCTGAAATTAATTTTTCCCCAGGTGAAGGGAGATATCAAACGACTTTGGAAAATGTGTAACTGTGAAACTGTATACAAAAGTTACAAAACAGAATTTGAGGTGGAATAATCTTCATTTTTACAGACATTTTTACTAAATGATTAGTCTTCTAAATAATTAGAAAGCTTCTATAAAATTAATATTTCTAGGTGATTTCTGTATTATATGTTACTTCCATTTTTCTATCTTAGGAAAAAAGTTTGTATATAAAGAAGAGGCACTGGTTTTTTATTTTAAAAGAGAAACTAATTAAGCGTTGTATCTAATAGCATTTTCATTTTCCTGTTTCTCCAGTTTTATAAACCTTGCTGCCCAAAGTGTGGTCTGTGGACTAGCAGTCCAGGCGTCCGCTGGGAACATGTTAGACTTGCAGAATCCCTAGCCCATGCCAGACCCCTGAATCTGCATCTCCATTTTAACCAGGGGCTTGGGGAGTTGTGTGCATATGGAAGTTTGACTAGCACTTGTCTGGGTCAGCTGGTAATAAAAGTGAATGGATAAGTTGAGAGGAGCCCTCTGTTTAAAAAAAAAAAATGAATTGATGATCTTGAAAGAAAAAAAAAACTAGTATGTGTAACATACATACAAATCACATCTGGAAGGATTCTAACTAAGATACTTGCCTAAGCCTCGGAAAATTGCAGTCTCTGAAAAAGATTTTTCAGCATGTGATTTAGGAAGAGAATTTAGATAGGTTAAAGTAGATAACCGAAAAATAGCATTTTTCATGCCATCATACATTTATCCATTCACTTATTGGAGTCCTTTGTTGTGCCTGTTATTTAGAGCCTCTTGCATTTTAATTCAAAAGATGCTTTAAAACATGCCATTGGGGCTTCCCTGGTGGCGCAGGGGTTGGGAGTCCGCCTGCCAATGCAGGGGACGTGGGTTCGTGTCCCGGTCCGGGAAGATCCCACATGCCGCGGAGCGGCTGGGCCCGTGAGCCATGGCCGCTGAGCCTGCGCGTCCGGAGCCTGTGCTCCACAACGGGAGAGGCCACAACAGTGAGAGGCCCGCGTACCAAAAAAAACATGCCATTGAATTCTAATTCATCACCCAATAAACAATTTTCAGTGATTTAAAATGTGATCAAATAATCAAATTCCATCTGGAGGATTATGGTTTCTAAGACAAAGTTATGTGTCCCTTCTCGCAGAGGACTCCCAGTTCTTTCCTCTGTGACCCTCACAGATCCTGAAGGACTTATTTGGACTTGAAGCTTTTGTGTGATGTGGGAGCACTGCCTGGAGGACGCATCTTTATTAATACATCATCATCGTGGTTAATTATTGATGCTCAGGGAAGAAAGATACAGCTCCACTGCCTGAAACAGATGATATCTGAATCCCATGTTAATCAATAGTGTCAGCCTCATCTCAAGCCCAGGGTTCTGTCGAACCACTCATGGGTGTGTTATTGTGCCAAACACTTTATCTCCTTTTCTTTTTCCTACTTAACCTGTAGGGAAATTTGCTGAACAATTAAAAGCCCTCTACTGGACACATACCACCTGCTGACCTCCAAGCATATAGTTTGCTGTGCCACAGCATGCTGTGAAATCTGCGTAACATGCTGGTGCAATAGATTATTACAATTGCTGTTTAATTAAGGCCTTGCAAGGCTCCTAAAATAAATTTTCCGTCAACTATCTTACAGCCATTGTTGCCTCTATGCCATGGATCCAGCAAAGGGAATTTCTGAATTTGACTGAGATGTACAACATGATTTGCATAAATTATTAAAATATGTTTCTTTAATTTGAATTTTAGGGACCTGTTGCAATGAGAGTGGCAAAATTAGCAATTAATCAAGGGATGGAGGTGAGTGCCTTAAGTTTGAGTTTCTTGTTGGAATAGGTAGTGGAGATTTAACTTAAATGAACCATTATTTTTTAATATTCTAAAATATAGCTGTTTCACTGCTATGATTAGTGAAAGCTACTGAGGTTCTTTTTAGCTACATCAGTGATTTCATTCTGCTTATATCTGTTGTTGCTTCAGTATCATAATCACAGAATTCATATGATGCACTGCAGCATATGACATACTTATTATTTATGCCATTGAGTTAATAGATTTATTGGCTAGTAGTTCATAGAAAACCAAAGGAAAAGGGCATTCTGTGTATTCTCAGCACCAGTATCATATTATAAAAAAATGTTCTAAGGAGAACTTCCCGGCTCAAAGCTCCTCCTAAAGATGGAGACCATCTTTAACTTCTTGATGTGCTTTCTGCAGTGAGACACACATAAACCCTGCAGGGGGCCCTGGGGTTACTCTGGAGAGATAGTTCCAAAGGAGTGGAGGCCCCAGGACAGGGGAGAAGTAAGCAGGGCAAGGGAGCAATGCAGGTACCCATTTACATTGGGCTTTTCATTACAGCAGTTGTATTTTGGATAAATTAACTACAGGAATTTTGAAGAAAGATATTTCTTCCTTGCAGACCCAAAGCCACTATGTTTTCCTGGCCTTCACAGCAGTAAAAAGAGGTTAAATAATGTTAGTAATAAATACATTTTTAAAAATTTACAAAGTATTTGGTTTTTAAAAATTCTTACATAGTAATAACAATGCTGGGACTTCCCTGGTGGTGCAGAGGTTAAGAATCCGCCTGCCAATGCAGGGAACACGGGTTCGAGCCCTGGTCCGGGAAGATCCCACATGCTGTGGAGCAACTAAGCCTGTGCGCCACAACTACTGAGCCTGCGCTCTAGAGCCCGCGAGCCACGACAACTAAGCCTGCGTGCTACAACTACTGAAGCCCACGCGCCTAGAGCCCGTGCTCCGCAACAAGAGAAGCCATCGGCAATGAGAAGCCCGTGCACCACAACGAAGAGTAACCCCCGCTCGCCGCAGCTAGAGAAGACCCATGCGCAGCAACGAAGACTCAACACAGCCAAAAATAAAATAAATAAAATGAATTAATTAAAAAAACTTCTCTAAAAAGAGAAAATAGTAACAATGCTAATAGCAAAAACCTTATATGACCCTAACTATGTGCCAACCCAATGTATAGCTTATGTAGTTTATAAAGACTTCACCTAGATTAACTCATGTGATCCTCACAATAACCCCATTTGGTACATACTGTAATTATCTCCCTGTTCAGATACACTAATCCGAGGCAAGAGAGGTTAAATAACCTGGGTAACCAAGGTTACACAGCTCCCATATGGTAGAGTCAGAATTTGAACCCAGGCAACCTGGTTCCAGAGTTTCTCGTGCTGGTCATACTTCTGATTTGCTGTATTACATCAAAGAATTCTGTTCTTTTGGAATAAAGTTATTAAATTTGAATTTATATTTATGAGTATACCATATTTTAAAAAGTAATTCTTGCTGAAATGAATTCTATTTTTATCCTCAGGTCGATTTAGTAACAGGATTAGCCATAGAAGAAGCTTGTTATGCTCAGGTATGTAATACAACCACAAATTCAATGCAGATACCCCTTACCTTCTGTATAAGTCAACTAAATTATATATCACTGAACCATGATATATATACACTATTAAAAAATCATACAGATGGGTTGAAATTATTTATTTCTGCTGTTTGACTGTTACCAGCTCTTATGACTGATTTTGTTCCACATACTAATGACTCCTGTCTATGTAATTTAGAAAATGCTTAGAACAGTTAAGTTAGTACCATTTGTGCTGTAGCTGTCTCTCTGGCTCATGTTGTGTTTTCTGGGTGTGGTCTTGAACCCTCACTCCAGGGTAGAGAGGTGTGAAGACGGCAGCTGTGAGCACGTGCCTCCAGGAAACATCAGTATTTGAGACTCATTGGCTTTTCCTGACGTTCTGAGCCTTTCCTCCTACCCACTGAAAGTTCACTAGTTTGATTACATATACAGTTTTCTTTTTTGTACACAAATTAATAGGGCTTTTTATAGAGGAACAAATCTTCCTTCCTCCCTTCGTTTCTTCCATCCTTTTTTTTTTTTTTACTTGCTGTACACAGGCCCCTCACTGTTGTGGCCTCTCCCGTTGTGGAGCACAGGCTCCGGACGCGCAGGCTCAGCGGCCATGGCTCACGGGCCCAGCCGCTCCGCAGCATGTGGGATCTTCCCGGACCGGGGCACGAACCCACGTCCCCTGCATTGGCAGGCGGACTCCCAACCCCTGCGCCACCAGGGAAGCCCCTTCCATCCTTTTTAAAATGAAAGATACTTTAGGTGCTTGTTTTAAGGCATCTAAAGTAGCAAAAGAGTTTTGTTCTACCTTTTCTGAGAATTGGAAACTGTGTCAGCTCCCGTTTAAGCATGGCAGTATCATGAATTAGGAGCAATAGCTAGAGTGTTACTCTGTGCCTGGTCTGTATATATAAATTACCACCTGTCATTGATGAGCACATACCATGAATGAACTAAATTACAAACCTCTTACAAATGGACAACCTCAGAGTCTGAAGAAAAAATTTAAAAGCATATTTGGCCACATCTTATCAAATGTAACAGGAATCATACAAAGTATTCCATCAGACCACAATGGAATTAAACTAGTAGTCAATCACAGAAAGATAGATGGAACCCCACCTATTAATGGTGAGATGTAATCTTTTTAGTAAGGTTAAGCAGTATACTTCTAAATAACATTTGTCAAAGAGAAAGTCTCAAGAGGAATTAAAATATATTTTGAACTAAATCAAAAGGAAAATACAACTTATCAAAATTTGTGGGAATATATGAAAAACAATGTTTAGAGAGAAACTTATAGCATTAAATATGTATATTAGAAAAGAAAAAGGATCTAAAATCAATAATAACTTTGCACTTTTCAAAAGTGGAAAAAGAAGATCAAATTAAATCCCAAATCAGAAGAATACAAATAATACTTTAGAGCAGAAATCAGTGAAATTGAAAAAGGGGAAACAATAGATAGAAAACAAAACCAAAAGTTGGTTCTTTGTAAAGATCTATAAAATTGACAGACTTCTAGTCAGGATAATCAATGAAAAAGGAAGATAAAAATTATATCAGAAATGCAAGAAAGATTATTACTACTGATTCTATGGACATTGAAAGGATAAAGGAATACTGTGAACTATATATGCCCACAAATCTGATAACCTAGATGAAATGGACCAATTCCTTGAAAGACAAAATATACCAAAATTTATCCAAGGAGAAATATAATATGAATAGTCCTATGTTTGTTGTAGAGATTAAATCAATAATTAACAAACTTCCGAAATAGGAAGCACCCGGCGCTGATGGTTTCACTGGTGAATTCTACCAAACATTTAAGGAAGAAATTACACCAATTATCTACAATCTTTTCCAGAAAATAGAAGCAGAAGGAATACTTCCTAACTCATTCCATGAGGACGGTATTAGCCTGATAACAAAACTAAAGACATTACAAGAAAGGAAAACTACAAACCATTATCTCTCATGAACATAGATATAGAAATCCTCAACAAAATATTAGCAAGCTGCCTCCAACAATATATAAAAGGAATTATATGCCACAACCAAGTGAGATTTTTTCCCAGATATGCAAGGCTTGTTCAACACTCAAAAATCAGTTAATATAATTCATCATATCAACAGGCTAAAGAGGGAACTCTGGTGAAAGAAATCACAATTTAAACAAATAGATATCCCAGGGGCTTCCCTGGTGGCGCAGTGGTTGAGAGTCCGCCTGCCAATGCAGGGGACACGGGTTCGTGCCCCGGTCCGGGAAGATCCCACATGCCGCGGAGTGGCTGGGCCCGTGAGCCTGCGCGTCCGGAGCCTGTGCTCTGCAACAGGAAAGGCCACAACAGTGAGAGGCCCACATACCGCAAAAAAAAAAAAAAAAAAAAAGAAAAGAAATATCCCATATCCATGGATAGTAAGACTCAATATTATTAAGATGTCACTTCTTCCCAACTTGATCATAGATTCAATGCAATCCCAATAAAAATTCCAGAAAGTTATTTTCTTAATATTGGCAAACCAGGTCTAAAGTTTATATGGAAAGTCCAAAGACCCAGATTAGCCAACACACTATTAAAGAACAAGGTTGGAGGAATGACACTACTTGACTTCAAGACTTACAATAAAGCTACAATAATCAAAATAGCAAAAGAAAAGACACATAGATCAATGGAACAGAATAGGGAGCCCAGAAGTAGATTCATACAAATATAGTCAACTGATCTTTGACAAAAGAGGAAAGGCAATTCAATGAAGAAAGGATAGTCTTAAAAAGGAATAGTACTGAAGCATCTGGACATTCAACTACAAAAAAAAAAAAATTCTAGACACTGACCTTACACCCTTCACAAAAATTAACTCAAAATGGGCCATAGACCTACATGTAAAATGAAAAACTATAAAACTTCTTGAAGATAATATAGTAGAAATTCTAGGTGACCTTGAGTTTGGCCATGGCTTTTTAGATATAACACCAAAAGTGTAATTCATTAAAGAAAAAATTGATGTTTGACTTTATTAAGATTAACTTCTACTCTGCAAGAGAAACTGTGAAGAGAATGAAAAGACAGGCCGCAGACTGGGAAAAATATCTTTGCAAAACATATATCTGATAAAGGACATGTATCCAAGACATACAAAGAGTTTTTAAAACTCAACAGTAAGAAAATAACCCATTAAAAACTGGGTATAAGGTCTGAAGAGATACCTCGCCAAATTAGATGTACAGATGGCAAATAAGCATAGGTAAATATGCTCCACATCATATGTCATTAAGAAATGCAAATAAAAACAAGATACCGCAGTTTGGCCATTTCTTACATAGTCTTACTACATGATCTAGCAATCATGTTGTTACATATTTATCCAAATGAGTTGAAAACTTGTGTCCATGCAAAAGCCTACACACCGGTGTTTATAGCAGCTTTATTCCTAATGGCAAAACTTGGAAACAACCAAGATGTCCTTCAGTAGGTGAATGGATAGACGGTAGTACATGTATAAGTGGGGTGTTATTCAGCAATGAAAGGAAATGAGCTATCCTACCAGGAAGAGACAGGAAGGAACCTTAAATACATATTACTAAATGAAGGATTTCAGTCTTAAAAGCCTGCATACTATATGATTCCAACTATATGACATTCTGGAAAAGACAGTGGGGTGGTGGATAAGGGATGACTAGGTGGCACATTAGGGATGTTGAGGGTAGTGAAACTATTCTTTGTGATAATGTAATGGTAGATACATGACATTATGCATTTGTCAAAACCCATGGAATATCCCTAATGTAAACTATGGACTAGTCAATAATATTGTGTTAATATTGGCTCATTAGTTGTAACAAATGTATCACATTAATGCAGGATGTTAATAATAGGGGAAACAGTGGGGGGGGCTTGAGGGAGTGTATGGGAACTCTGAACTTTCTGCTCAGTTTTTTGGTAGACCTAAAATTGTCTAAAAAAAAATAAAGTCAATTTTATTCAAGTACATTTGAAATGGGAAAAAAAAGCATCTTAGAGTTAGAATGATAAATTTGGTCACATAATTTAAATTGTTCAAATGATTTCAAAATTTTAGATTGTCTTCCAATTAGTTTCCTTAGTTAAAGCTTATTAAACTTTTACAATTGTCTTTATTGTTTGGCATAGATAACAATGTTTTGCTTCTCTTAGACTATTCCAACAAAAGACAGACTTGAAGGTCTTCTTGCTTTTAAAGAGAAAAGGACCCCTCGTTATAAAGGAGAGTAGAAGAAAGAGAAATCTTTAAAATGCCAGTGTAATAAATATACTTCTGGAAGTATCTTTCAGATTCACGTATGCCTCAGCATCTGGAATCCCAGCGACCAAAGTGAAGAGCGAGTTATCCATATACTGAATTAAGTATCTGGAGTGGACCCCTGTGTGTACTTGTTCAAATGTATATCGTCATTTTCATTCAGATTTATAAAGCTAATAGTGTATACTGTCAAAAACGCCAATTCAAAATTAGGTATACATTTTTAAATACCTCCTGCATATGAAGCTTTCTGTTCTTAATTTTTCTTCATGTGAATAATTTATATATTGCACACGCTAGGAAAAAATATTGATTGTATGTCTCCTGTGCTACAGTATGAAAATAAAATTATTTCCATGTACCAAAAATGTGAAGTTATACCAAATAAAGTTTTCAAGGGATTGTACACATGCACCCACACACATACATCTCATACTGAAAAAGGAGCTGATAGAATTCTGAGTGAAAATTATCAAATATATGTAAAATTAGTGAAAAGAAAACGTGGAAATTTTTCTCTTACCCCATTTTTTTGTATTGAGTAAATCATTGCATGTTGGATTTTAGAAGAAACCACCTTTCCATTGCTGATTCTGTCAGGTGACCTCTTTATGTAGTCAGTCTTAGAATACAGTATGGATGGTGGAGAATTAATCCAGTCAGAGACTGGGACCAAAGGCCTTGTGGAGGCCAACTGGAGGCCTGGAACTGTTGTACCTGTAAGCCCTCCTAGCAAGTGGCCTGGCCCCCTGGCCTAACCCAGAAATAAAATGGTGCAGCTGGGCTTCCTTGGTGGCGCAGTGGTTGAGAGTCTGCCTGCCGATGCAGGGGACACGGGTTCGTGCCCCGGTCCCGGAAGATCCCACATGCCGCGGAACGGCTGGGCCCGTGAGCCATGGCCGCTGAGCCTGCGCGTCCGGAGCCTGTGCTCCACAACGGGAGAGGCCACAACAGTGAGAGGCCTGCGTACCGCAAAAAAAAAAATGGTGCAGCCAAGGTTGGCCCTTAGAAGTGGCTTCGTCCTGGATTAAGGGTGAAGTGAAGCCTGTTTTCTGCTTCCTTCTCCCAAGCTGTTTGCAGCTGATTTCAGTAAGGAAAGGAGGTGAACACATCACCCCTCTCTCCCCGTTCTAACAAACAGCATGCCTTTCTACCCCTGGCCAGGTAAGCAACTGGAAATGGAGGAGCTCCAGGGGTATGTGAGTTTATATAGCCTTGCCTGCGGGACAGATAGGAAGTGTGTGGGAAATAGCTGTAGAATTCAGTGTGCAAAAGGGAGCGGAACAGCACAGCTCCCTGAACGAATTTGGGCTAGCTTTATTTTGTGTTCATTTGATCAAACCACACTGCCTTTTGAGGCTGCATCCAGGGCTGAGTCCAGCAGTGCTGGAGAAGTCCCCCTTTTCCAGGACCCACGCCTGCTATTTTCCAGCTCCAGGGGTCCCCCACTGTCCCCAAACGCTGCAGCTGTGCTTCATTGCAGTGAAGTCAAGTTCGACACATGGGTGACTGCCTGTTTCATGCATTCCCATGCTCTGCACCACAGCCTCCTTGCTCTTTAAAGGATATAGACTTGGAATTTGTTAAATCACAGAAACTTCTGTTTTTTAATTTGAGAAATTGAACTCTTAATCTCAATTCTAAAATCCTTGAAAGAGGTAAGCGTGGACTTAACCTCAGCTGATGGGCACCGTGCCAGGGGGCAGGCCTGCTTACTATGCGCGTCCTTGTACTACAGCAAGTGCTGTGCTCTTTGTCACCTTTGCTGCTGACACTGTGCAGACTATGATGTTTGCTCAGCTGATCGCCATCATATGAAAGGAGCTTATTAAAATTTACATTGGGCTCTGTGGTGATTGTATCTGGTGGTGTGTACACTTTGCTGATAAACTTGTACCATTCATTTCCTGCAGGATAATTTGCAAATAAAGTGCTGGTCCTTGTTTTCATGATCCTTCAGATGTTTCAGGACCCCTTGGCTCTGTCCGTGACATGTGCAAATTCCACTTCCATTCTGAGTAGGAAATAATTATGTTCATGGGGAAAAATATTGAGTGTGCTGAGTGACTCGTCTCTCCTAACTTGGATTCGGAGTCTGCTGCTGATTGAACACCATTTAATTTCCTAACAAGTTCTGATTAAGTCCCTGGAGTGATTAAGTCAATGGAGTGTATCTGAAAGCAAAGACCTCATCCTGTAGTCACTTCAACGTGTCTGCCCAGCTGTCTGTATAGATGTTTGCCTTTCCCTTGGTTTTCTCTTCAGCAGGGCAGTCTTGCTGGGGGGTGGTCCTAACACACCCCATGGGTCGAAGCCCAGTGACTGGGTGCTGGCGGGGGTGGGGAGGGTGCTCATCCCTGAGGGAGTGCCTGCACCAGCACGTGGGCCAGCAGCTCGTTTTGTTTTCCTCCAGGGCTTGGAGTGTTTTCGAGTCCTTACACTGAAACCACATGATGCAAGCTGGTAACACAGTGGATGTATCCATATGTTCAGATGAGTTAAAGGCGACCAAGAGGGAGGATGATTAACCGGGCACACTTACAGTTCAGGGGAAAAATATTTCATGTTACCTCAGAGCAGGAGACCTACTAGTCTTGAGGTAATGTAGCGTTGGTTAATTTATAACTTATCTCTGAAAGAAAGAGAGGTCTCCAAGTGACAGAGACTCTGAGTCGAGAGGACTTGTAATCATGGCCAAAAGAAGACTCAGATTTCCTGTGATTCATTTTCTGTGATTTAAAGGGTCATTTCCAGTTTGTGTTGTTTTCAATAAAAAATAGACATGGTTTTCCTGGGATTTTTTTCCCCTCTAGCTGTCAAGAAATCTGGCTTGTCACACAGTTGTTACTTTTCTGACGGTACTTAGAATAGCACTCTGGACATGGACTAGGGTAGTGGGGTGTCATTTCATGTATACCATACTTACAGAAAATGCTTAATTTTCATATGGACTCATAGCTGGCTACCCATTGACCCTTTTCCTCACTTAATCTTAACTCTCTCTTCTGGTTAAGTGAGGCCCTACATTTGCTCTGATTTGGGGTCCAAAAATCCTGGCATGCAGGCAGACTTAAATGTTTAATCCTGCCGTTATTATTTGTTTACTTACCTAGTTAAATAATGTATGTCAGCATTTATTGGGCTTTATCAAAAGACAGTAGAAATTTTCTTATATTTAACAAGAATGTGTACATGTGTCACAAAAGAAAAAATAGAGCAGTTTAAAGTTACTTGGTAATATTTTGGTAAAATGAGAGCCACTCTTCTGCATAGATGAGATGCTACAGACTGTGGTTGGGGGTATTTTGGCAGATAGGGGGATCAAACACTCTGCTCAAAATATTTGTGGGTCTCAAGCCCTAAAAACTCACTGTTTGAAATGCCTTTTCTTTGGGAACCTCCCAAAATTCAGTTACCCCTCAGAGGGATAGCTCCTAATCAAACAATTCGGTGTGCCATATTTCTCAAACCAATCCTCAGGGCAGTGTGAGCCAGCTGGGCACCTGACAGAATAAAGGACCCCAAGGACAGACCAAGACATGCACCTCTCAAGTGGTCAGAGCCAGCCCTCATGACAGTCGTCCACACACCAGCTTAAAGGAGGCAAGGTAGGAATATAGCCCTTCCTCAGCTGACAATTCCCTGGAACCAGCAAAGTGAGCTCATAGCCACCAGCATGTCAATCCTATCTTAAAAGTATAGAAAACACAGTATTATATGTTTTGATCACGAGAACATTTTGACAATATCATTGAAGATACTAATGTGAATACAATGAGAGAATCAGGGTCGGGTATTGTTATGATGATAATGACTACCATTTATGAAGCCCTAAATACTGCCAGGTGTTTCCATGCGCTATTGTATTTACTCTTCTTCATAGCATCCAGGAAAGAAGAGGCACTGGTTACTCCTGGGATCTAGAGCAGGAGGCTGGAGCATAGCCTGATTACAGGTGGGTGGCGGAGTCAGGAATTGAACCTGGAGCTGTTGACCTGTCATTACTCTTAAGCCTGAAAACAGCTGAACAACACAGCCAAAGGCTACCGATACATGTGTATGTCAACCTTTGCCCAGATTGGTTCTAGTTTTCTCATGACTTGGCAAGAGATAGTGTGCGTATCGAATGATCTGATGATGGGCAGGCAGTGTGACAGTTACAGCGATGCCTGCTTTGTGTCTCCTTTAAACCAAGCCCTTTGCCTGCATGTTCACATCCAATACTCAAAAAAACTTAGGAAATGGGTTTGTCATTTTCTAGCTTATGAAGCTGAGGCCAGAGTTGGATTTGTGTCAGGCATTCTGAATTCAGAGCCCCGACGTTCATCACGACACCTGGAGAATACAGAGCCAATCTTGGCAGCTGTGAGGAGTGAGTCTGAGGACTCATGTTTGATAGGGATATCCATCAGAAAGGAAGCATGTGTGGGTGAAGAGCACCCCATGCTTCTTTTGGGGAAGCATAACGTGCATCTTGCTCTATTCTGCACTGGTCAGGCTCACCGAGAGTCTTGTATTCACTTCTCAATGTCACAGTTCCAGGTGGCTGTAGATTCCCTCTGTGCTTTTCTGGAAAGCACACAGGAGTTCTTTTTTGTTGTTGTTGTTATATTTTTTGGCTGCGTTGGGTCTTCATTGCGGCACACGGGATCTTTGTTGAAGCATGCGGGATCCTTTGTCGTTAGAGTGCGAGGTCAGTTGGGGGTCTGTTCAGGTTTCTCTCTAGTTGCAGCGCTCGGGCTTCTCTCCAGTCACACAGGTGTTCTTTGCCCAAGTTTCAACTCTTCCGAAACCAGTGATGAGACCAGGTAAAGCATCTCCTCCCTCTGAGCCTTGTTTCTTCATCTGTAAAGGGATCGTAGTCATTTGTGATAACTGCAAAGACAGACTGGATGTGTCCAGGCAAAAGGGCTTTGGAATCAGTAAGGTCACCTTCTACAGACGTGGTGGTGATGTTTTACTAGTTTCATGTTTCGGAAGAGAACTGCTGAGACAGGGAGGTGGGTCTCACAACGACGTCCAGTTTGGGGCCATGTTCAGGAACCTGGGCGTTCACTGAGGAGACAAGAGGTCAGGGGAAACCTGGTGGCTGTCTTTTTTAGGACCACAGTGTGAAACTGGAACCTTCGAGGCTGCCAGGGGCCAGAAGAAGCCACACAGGCCCCCCACTCCCAAAACCTCTCTTCTGCTCTGCTCTGCGTCTGTCCACAAACAGAGATGAGGGCTATGGTCAGTAGGGGAAGCTGCTTCCACTCTCCCAGGACCAGGAGCAGCTCCCTGACACTGAGGTTGAAGCAGAAAGTGGGCAAGGGGGTGGGACAGAGGACAGTTCCTCTAACTCATCTCTGTCCCTGAAGTCATCCAGATGGCACCCCTTCAGTTCCCACATGGGCTGAATAGATGGGAAATACATGGCTGCAGAGGCAGCTCACTTGTTGGGCTGGGTCATAAAGAAGCACAGAAAGCAGTAATCTGCTTAAGTGGGACTGTGG